TTCTAAGATATAAGAAGGCAGTAGACAAGCTATACAACTAAGATATTCACCCTTAAAAAATTCGACTAGGAGACTTGGTGCTACGCAAGGCTGATATAAGTGACCCGAATCAATTATGAGGAAAATTAGTACCAAACTAGAAAGGACCATATCGAGTTGTCAAAGTCGTCTGAGATAGGACATATCACCTCAAGATAACAAAAGATGTGGCATTATCAAGAACATGATATATCTCTAACTTAAATAAGTTTTATCTTTAAGGACCCCCTCAGGTCCGATTGAGGTACATTTCAAGTTTACAAAAGGTATTTTTTCATTACTCTAAGAAAAATTATATTAGATAGATCGGATCTATATAACTAAAATTAGACACCAATCTATAAAAAGACAAAAGAGAACCAAGAACTAATATTACAAGCTTTGAGGTGGCTCGGCAACATATCAAGCTTCTGAACAAGGTAACGAGTCAGGATTATCATTAAAATATATCTTACTTTTCATATAGATACTCTAGTCCTTGGGGTAGTCGATGAATGAGTCATCCTCAAGCTCCAACTCAGAATATCATGTCCTGAAATGGGTTAGGATGATCAAGTATCTAAACTTCGGGGCGAACAAATGACTTCAGCCCTCGACCTTTCTAGCCCCTTTCTAAATCTCACAAATGATTTCGGGGCGAACAAATGATAGAGAATATAAACTCAATTTACTATCATTTATCACATCAATGCCATGTAAGGCCCATAGGAAGATAAAGGCAAGAAGCCCAACACCCTTATACCCACATAGATAAGAGTCCAAAAGGCTTGAGTCAATTACCAAGCTATTGATTGCCTCCCTTATGAAATATTTATAGAAATATTTTAGAAATTCTAAGGGGTAGTTTAGGTCGATTACGAACTGTCTCTCCTATAGAGTATTCATAAAAATATTTTTGAAAGTCCAAAGGATAGCTCGAGTCAATTACGAACTACCTCCCTAATAAAATATTCATAGAAATATTCTTGGAAGTCCAAGAGACAGCTCGGGTTGGTTATGAATTATCCCTGTGGAATCTTTATAGGATATTTCTTCTTCTCAAGGTTAGTATAAAAATACACCTTTAACTCCAGATTAAGGTAGAGGGACCTCGATACTAACTTAAGCATCAGAGGGATTAACTCGAGAAGCAACCCCCAACCTCGATCTTGGTGCAGGAAACGAGTCTGGAGAGACTATGCTCTATTCCGGATGACTCCTTGCATATGGATCAGGGCCACTTTGTGTTGACGAAGATGTCAATGATATTTTTTCCTGACAACTATAAAAGAGTTTGTTATATAAACATAACTCAAACATCAATATCGAATAATATAAAAGTTAAACTTATGGTTAAAAATTTTACTCATAAAGAATACATCAACTATAATGAGATATTTTTTTCTAATAAAGTTATTAAGAATCATTATGATTTTAGTAGCTTATTATGATTTTGAGTTACATCATAGATGTGAAAATAAGTTTTCTAAATGAAAATTTAGATTTATATAGATTAACCTAAATGATTCATAGAGAAAATAAAAAATATAAAATTTAGTATGTAAATTTAGGAAAACAATTTATGTCCTTAAACAAGCCTCTAGACAATGGTATATAAAGTTTTTTAATATTATTATTTCTTTCATATTTAAGAAAAATATCTTTGATTAGTATTTATATATGAAGATCAGTGAAAATAAGTTTATTATATTGGTCTTATATATGGATAATATTTTGCTTGTTAGTAGTGATCTTGGTTTATTATACTAAATCAAGAAATTTCTCACTAAGAATTTTAAGATAGTTGATATGAATGAGGTAATTTATGTTATTAACATTGAGATATTTGGAGATATATCTCAAAAATTGCTATGAGTGTCTTAAGAAGGATATATTGATCGAGTCTTGGAGAGATTTAGTATACAACTTTATTCAGCAAATGATAAAAGTAAAGATTTTAATCAAAATAAGTATTTTTAAAATAACTTTAAAAAAATCAAAAAAGAAAAAAATATTTTATATATATGCACAGTTAGAAGTCTATTATATGCAAGTCTATGCCATATCATATATCAACTTACAATTAAAATACTAGGTAGATATTAGAATTACCCAAGAATAAAAACATAAAAAGACTACAAAGAAATAAATAAGATAACTAAAAGAGACGAAGGGTTATATTCTCACATATATCACATTAGATCAACTTGAAATGATAGTATTTTTCATATACTAATTTTGTAAATTATTTTGATAACAGGAAGTCTACTTTACAATTTATATCTATATAGAGGGATAATTTTTTAAAAAAATATAAAGTAATATATTATTATATTAATAATAAAAAAAACTAATTTTATGACATACTTTGATGCCACTAATCAAGCTTTATAACTATAAAATATTATCTCAAGGCTTGATATAGTCCGACTCAATTGTTAAGTCACTAATGATACTTTGTAACATATTATAACAGTTTTTTTTATCTAAGAATGGTAAATATTCTTGTAGTTATATGCATTATAGTATAAAGTACTTGATGGTTAAAGAATAAAATTTAAAAATAATTAATGTCAATTAATAATTTAAGTTTTACTATATTAATTACTTATCCATTCACTTAAAGACTAATAACCTAAAATGTTTGAAAGAATATATTCTTATAATTGAGTTTATGAGCAACCAACACTATAATTAGGTGTCAGACTTAATGTAGCATTATTTTTATTGGGCTTATTGACCTATTTTATAAAATTTATGAATATGTGTAAAATATTATTTTTAAAATTTCAGAATCTAATTAAATAAAATTATTTTTAAATATTTTTTATTCTATTTATTTCAAATTTAATTTTTTATCTTATTAATTAATGGGCCAAGTGAAAAAATATTAGATTATGTGATATTATCTAATTAGGTAAAATATATTATGAATTGATTGTATTCTGATTATGATTATCAACCAATAAAAAAAAATTCAATTATGATATGATTCCTTAGAAGATGACTTTGATAGGAGGAACTCTCATAATATTTGTTTTAGATCTTTTACTCTCGCTTATAAAAGAAAAGGAACTCAAAACTCAAGTAATAAGAAGAGACATGAATATATGATATTATTGAGAGATTACATATCTTAGCCATGTGAACTAAGAAACAAAAGATTACAGATCTTCGCTCATCTTCCCTTTGTCCCTAATCCATTAATCATAGTGGTCCTATAAATAATAGGGAAAAAAAAAAAGGTAAGTCTAGTTCTCCTTGCATATCAGTATCGTTATAATTTTCATATCCAATAATAATGCAGTTGAAGATCAGATTAAAACTTTTTGAATAACATCGAAGAGTACGTGTCATAAATTTAATATATTATTATTTAATTTTAGATTTTAATATTAAATTTTTTATAAGAAAAGGAATGATTTTAATGCTTTCGCTATAAATAAAATGGGGTAGAGTGTATCCAACCAATCATCTATCAAGTCAATAGATGAAAAATATCTTGAGAAACACATTGGTTATAATAAAAAATTATCCTGTGAAGTTTAAGGCAAAAAAACACAACTGCATTATTCTTAAAATAGAGATGGATTATTTTTGGTACGTTAGACATATGACTAGTCTCGAAAGGACAAGCAACCACGTTGTCATATTTGCCTTCTGCCAATAAGATTTCTACTGAGAGACATGGTTGTGACCTGTTGTTAGCAAATCGGTTCTCACCATTGATAAACCAGAATTGACACATGAGACAGAGAACAAGGCACTGATGACAAGATAGGATCATTTAGACCGCTGCCGAGGACCCCATCCATTTGTGTTCGTATCTCTCTGGCATTTGGTGCAGCAGAATATCCATATCAGTGCATGTCAAAAACACTGATTCCATTTGCCTCTTTCCATCATTGTCTCTCACTTTATCTGCCAAAGAATACTACATTGATCACTCACCATTGGATGAGGGCTTGAAAGATGAGGCCTGACTTGATTTGGAGACCCATGTCTTAATTGAATGTTTAGGTGAAGCATCAATGGGCTGCTGACAAATTTGAAAGGAAGATGGGAGAAGAATATAGATAATCATAAAACAAAAAAATATATATATATATTCCATATAATCATTTACAATCTTTCAATCTTTTAAATCTTCAATCTCTCAACCTCTCTTGTTCTTTATTTCTCTCTTGATTTCAAGATGCATTAAATTACTCTCTATTTATAAAGGAACTCAAACTATCTTTTTATCTATAACACAAGACTATAATTTATTTTTTGACAATTTAGTGCACTTGGAAGGATGACTAATTGCAAGTTGTGGTTTTCACTTACATTGGCATTAGGTTCTCGTAGCAAAATGAACAAGTTGGAAGAAATCAATCTTCACATAAATATTAGAGTGATTTAGGTTTGTCGTCTTCGTTAGACCATAGAGAACAATATTAGCTTCAGCTAGTATGAGGAGTGAAATAGTGAGATAACTTCCCTTGGCTCCAATGATAGACAAGTCCACTTCTTATAGGCGATGAAGAAGACATGAATAAGCTATCAGCTTTCAAGTTAAAGGCTCACCTTGTCTTTGCTTGAAGTGCTTCAGTCCTATCTCTCTAGGGGGTCCTCAAGGGGATAAACAACTCAATAGCGATCAAATGATTATGATGCTTGACGTTATTTCTATTATTCCAAAGAAATAAAAATTAATACTAATTAATGATTCGCACGTAAAATTCTCACGTCGTAATCGTATCCTGACCATAGATAAAAGATGATCGATCCATATTTATCATCCATTATAGATAATAATTTTAATTTTATATATCTTCTAGAAATATTCCAATCAGAAAACACAATTAGAGAAAGATAAAATACATGATCCATGTAACCTAATAATACAACCCCAAAGAGTGATTCCATTGTGCATTACTTCCCACTAAAACGTTCGGTAGGAAGGACAATGACACCATTGGAGCTTCACTTTCTCCCATCTAGGTTGACTCTGTTGACTCTTTTGTCGCGTTGTAATGGTTTTGTTGACAAGTTTGACCTCCAGGGTCCTGCAGCGCCATGACGGTCTCGAAGGCTCCCACCAAAGCCCTCACCCTGCTCTTCTGCTTCTCCAACAGCCTGCTCCTCGTCTGCTCGATCACTTCGTTGCTCATCTGCGTCTCCTTTTTCTCCTCCTGCGCCACCGCCGGCTTCTTGCGAGTCTTCACTGTCGGCGCCTCCTCCCCTGCTTTCTCCTCCACGGTCTCCTTCTCCGGCACGGCCGATGCGGTGCTCGGCTCTGCCTCTGGCGTCTTGATGTCCTCCTCCTCCGCCTCATCTTCCTGCTCCACGGTCTCGCTTGGTTCTTCTTCAGGCTCCTCATCGGTGATATCTGCAACCGACTCCTCTTCGGAGCCCTGCGGGAGCTCATCGTCGTTGGCGCCGTCCTGCTCTTCGTCTCGACCATGATCACCACCGTTCCCATCGTCAACTGGAGTGGGCGGAGGCGCTTGCTCGGGAGAGATTGGTTCATATTGCTCAGTGACTTCAAGAACTTCTTCGTCCTCGACGATGTCCATCGGTTCATCAGATATGAGATCTTCCGACGACGGCACGCTTACAGGTTCTTTCTCTTCGACCCGGGCTGGCGGTGCCACTTTCTCGTCTTGCTCAGCTGCAACGACTGGCTCCTCGTGTGTGCTTGGAGCAGCAACGCTCGTCGTCTCCTTTCTTTTGGGGATGACACTCCCTGGACTCCTTGCTCTCACCGTTGGCTGCGTCCTCGCGGTCTTGAGCGTCGTTGCTGCTTTACTTGATGTACCGGCTGTCCTTGAGGAGATCGATTTACCGGCCGGCTTTGAGGAGATCGATGTACCGGTCGGCTTTGAGGAGATCGATGTACCGGTCGGCTTTGAGGAGATCGATGTACCGGCCGGCTTTGAGGAGATAGCAGCTCGTGGTATGGAGGAGGGAGTCTTCTTGAGAGCTCTCTCCTTGACGGCGCCCGACGGCGGTGTTCTTTGAGACGGGTGGGAGGGCGACGGAGGTTTCTCGATGGGCTTTCTTGCAGGCAGACGTGATCTGGTGACATTGACAATGGCACCAGCAGTGGAGGGTCGGTGTATAACGCTCTTCTCTCTCTTGCCGACGTCGCTGTTCGATCTCGTCAGCGTCTTGCACTGCGGCGGCCGGGCCTCTCGGTCAGGAGAATTGGGGACCGAGGCTCGTCGCCGACGTGCACCATCGTCGGTGGTGCTACGAGCGTGGGAGACGAGGCTGCTCCTCTCTTTGAGGCGAGTGCTTGGTTTTGACGTAGCCATGTGGTATTGACTGCATGAAGACAACAGGGTGCACAAAGCTTCTTATTTATTACAAGCAACATATAAGTTTGACCTAGCAATATATCAATGATATCATCAATATCAACATAGGTCAACGACAAGTATGACAAAGGAAAACAATAGAAACAATTCAATTTCATTTGTCCTCAATGTGCCATGTTCTAGTTGTGTATTTATCCAGTTAATCTCAGGGTCTATGAGATAATCAAATTCAATTATTTACCTATATATATATCACACTATTATCAATTCCTCTCTCTCTCTCTTATTGTCTTAAACTGTGTTTAGTGTATTATCTTTTTGTTTTCCTTCAGATAAACAACAGATTCATTAATCCACTTGTAGTTTACTCCATTAGAAAATCCAATTTGGCATTCTTGGAAAAGGGAGGAAAATAAAATAATAGTACTTGTCTCAATGATTAGTCTTACGATCACTATTTATAATCGAAACGAACATTTAGCTACTTATATATATTAGATCGTATGATATATAACAAAGTGAAAGAATTCACGAGAATATAGTATCAAAATACATTACCAAATGAAGTGAATAATCCATGCTCATAATAAAAAGAAACACATAACCTTATTTCCACTCTTAAATTTTGATGTTCTTAGACTGTAGCTACAGGAAAAAAGTGCAGCAAGCATGTCGATTCTTTTGAAACAAGTGACAGAAAGGAATGGAAAGACTTGTTAGCTCTGTGCACTTTACCTTGACAAGATTAATCAGTACATACTTCACAGAAGAACTCAGATGCAAACTAGGAAGAGGAATGGCAAGGGAGAGGTGGAGTTTGTGGCATTTGATCCCAGCAGATGCCAGTGCCTTTTTACTTGAGGCTTGGAGGAGAGGAGAGAGAAGTGAGGGGAGACAAAGCCGGATGTCCAACCCCATGTTCTAAGGTGAGGAGGGGAAGACCAGGTCAATCTTGGATCAGTTTGTGAGTCGCCTTAATCGATCACAAGAATAGATGCATTGTGTGAGAACGGAATGCTTCTAATAGAATCTGTCATCAGAACTAATAACCATTAAGGTCACTCTAATTAGGATTTTTTTGGTTTACTGTCTACCCAAATTAGACATGGTTGAGTCACCTTGATAGAAGAGAGAGAAAAGACAATTGATGTCCTCAAATCTTAGAAGGTATAAGAAGTTAACTTAGCTAATGATATTTGTAACAAGTTTGTTATTTATCTTATCAAATCTATTTTATATATTTTTTTATCTATTTCATTCTAATGCACAGATGATCTATAAAAATGGGATCATCCAAATAGATGATTGATAAGAATAAATATTTACTTTATGATTTCTTAGAGGATACCACGTAGGACGCAATAGTGGACCCCGCTTATTTCCGTCATAGGATTCCAGGTCAAAATGATCACCCAAGGAGGACGACACCACGTCCCACCCCACACCAACCTGTCCACATAAACCTCTACACACCCAGCTGTGAGTGGTCTCCAACCTCTCCCGATCCATTGAACAGCAGCTTCTCAAACCATTGCATCAAAACTCGTCCTCGAATTGAAAAGATATAATTAGGAAAAAGAAATGCATGAAACCAGCAAAATGCTGGTTTTATGATCGCATGGCTCCATCTCCGAGGAGCGGACCCCCTCATGCGCTGCAAGCTGGCCATGGGAAGCCGCTCCTCCCCTTCCACTCACACTCCCTGAACTCCCCATCCAATTCATAGCAGCTCAAACCACTGCTGTCTCCAGCCCATTGCCAACCCATCATCCATGGCTCCGTCTCTCTTCCCTTTCACCTATATAATGAACCCTCGATCGCAACCCAATCCCCACACTGCATCCTCTTATCCCACTCTTGATACCTACTACTACTACTACTACTACCATCATCACCACTATGGCGATGCGGTTTCTCCTTGTAGCTTGCTCCTTGGTGGCCATCGCCTCCGCTGGAAACTTCTACCAGGAGTTCGACGTCACCTGGGGCGGCGACCGCGCGAAGAATCTCGACAACGGCCAGCTCCTCACCCTTTCCCTCGACAAGGCCTCCGGCTCCGGATTCCAGTCCAAGAACCAGTACCTGTTCGGCAAGATCGACATGCAGATCAAACTCGTCCCCGGGAACTCTGCCGGCACCGTCACCGCTTACTACGTGAGTTCCATCAGTCTAAATGGTCTGCATCTTTCGTCAGTTATGGAGGAAGAACTCATGTTGTTGGTGAGTTTACCTGCAGTTGTCTTCGCAAGGACCGACGCATGATGAGATCGACTTCGAATTCCTGGGCAACCTCAGCGGTGATCCGTACACGCTCCACACCAATGTGTTCACCCAGGGAAAGGGAAACAGAGAGATGCAGTTCAAGCTCTGGTTCGATCCCACCGATGATTTCCACACCTACTCCATCCTCTGGAATCCCCGACACGTCATGTGAGCACTACTACTAATCTATATCATTTCAACACAGTCAATGCGAATTCTCATGCTCACCATGGTTCTTGTTCTTCTTCCAGCTTCATGGTCGATGGCACACCCATCAGAGACTTCAAGAACCTGGAATCGAGGGGCATCGCCTTTCCCAACAGCCAGCCCATGAGGATCTACTCCAGCCTCTGGAATGCTGATGACTGGGCCACCCGAGGCGGCCTCGTCAAGACCGACTGGTCGAGAGCTCCCTTCACTGCATCATACAGAAACTTCAAGGCTAACACTTGCGTTCCATCGTCTGCTACCTCCGAGTGTGCTTCCAACTCAGTTCCCAGCAATGGTGGGTGGTGGAACCAAGAGCTGGATTCGATGGGCCAGCAGAGGATGAAGTGGGTGCAGAAGAACTACATGATCTACAACTACTGCAGTGACCTCAAGAGGTTCCCGCAGGGCCTGCCTCCGGAGTGCTCCATTGCCTGAGAGAACAGAGAGAGAAGTAGCAGTGTCATTCTTTCATTCATCATGTTTGCTGTAGTCTGCTGTCAAAAAGCTATATTATGCGTGTAGAACAGAGCTATTAAAAGCATAGCGAGTAGAACACAACCAATGAAAGCACACATCGGCTTATATTCATGAGTAGATTTTGGAGCCGGACAAATTAATTTTATGATCTGAACGTACTCACTTTGAAAGCTCATGTTTGATAGTTAACAATTTAGGTAAGCAATTATCAACAACCATTAAAAGACTGAGAGTCCACATTCATCCTATACAATCTCTTCAAATTGATAACCTTATATGTTTCCAGACTAAAAAGATTCTCCTGTAGAGTTGCTACATGTTCAAACGAGAGTTAGCCATACTAATTGATAGGGAATGTCCTGACATCAACTCAGCCATCTAAACGTTGATATGGGCACAGAAATTCTCTGATCACCCTTTTCCAACAGCGAACGATAGGACAGAAACCTATTGCCCCTAGTAGATCACGACTCAATGGAAGGCGGTACGGACTGATTGTCGAGGGCAATAACCCCTCGGTGACAAAGCTTGTTTGCCCCCCACGGTCAGCTCACACAAACGATTACCATCTGACTATCTTTCACGATTGTCATGACTAATAAGCAGCGATGTCCTTGTAGTCATTCTTCGCTAACGATGCGTCTCGAGGAACTGTACGGGTCAATTGTCCGCATAAATAAGTCATCGATCCCTCTCTGTCATCGGTCCCTCTTTGTTGATTGCTGACGCCATCCACCCTCCGAAACATCTCTATACTTTCATCACATCCTGCCGCTTGGGCGGTTATCGTCATCGTGTCCTCCATTGTCCCTCTCCGCCCGTCCTTCACCACCAGCATGAAGAAAGGCAACACGGTGCCTAGCTTGACATGGGCAATGGGGTTGACAAATAAAGGGCCAAGCTGAAGAGGACCCAGAGCATGTCCTTGATAGATTTAGTTAATGCGCCAAGGGCATTGAGGAGGTCCACAAGGGTGGCAATGAGGGGCTTCTTTGACCAGATAATGGAACAATACTTTTCAATGGAAAGAGGCTATAAAGGATTGTGGCGACATACTGGGTGGTAGTGAGGGCATCGAGGATGCCCAAAGTGCACATGAGCGTCTTTGTAAGTGGAGATAGAGAGAATGAGGAGGGCAACAATAACGTTCTTCTAGGACTCAATCGAGGAGGAGTGGTGGTGGTTGAGAAGGTGGGTGGCAATGAGGAGTACAACATCAACGTTAATAAGGGGGGCATGCATCTTCGGGTCTTGCTTTGACAGGTGACAGATCTCCATGATGGCTTCGACAATAGATTTTGATTCTCTAATGACGGAGCACCGACGCAAATGCAGAGTGCCGAAAGAGCCGCTTGGCAACTGTGTTAGCGTCGTCCGTCATTACTAGTTGAAATGTTAAAATTATTTTATTGTTCTTTTGCTATTATATTTCCGATAAAACTATCGTCATTAAAGTAAATAGAATTAGAAGATTTATTTTCATAATTATAGAAATATCAATATAACTTTTAGGGATCTAAATATTAAAGGTAACTAACTATAAAAAGTAATATATAATTAGCTCCGACTACCATCTACTTATTCAATGTAAAATCTAAACCCCAAAAAGTCGTAATTAACAAAATCATATCAACTCAAAATATTAAATTTACATCATCTATTATCATTAATCTAAATTTTAGTATTTGAGGTGAATAATTTGAGATAAACAAGTTAATGGCTCAAATGGCATCACCCAATCATCAAGATTAGATAGAATAAGAGAGAAAAGAAAAAAATAGGATGCTAGAGATGGGGTCAAAATTAGACTTGGATTTAACTCTAACATAATCCTGCCATCCTATTATTTCTATTTATTTGGCGAATAAACATGATTAACATTCCTTAATTAACCTCATAAGTCCCATAATAAATTCCAATACACTGACGCTAACACAAACATCGAAAACATTTTCCATCGTACATAGAATAAGTGTACTCAATGGAACTGTTGACTTAACCATTCGTCCAATTAAGATGCAGGTAAGCAAGAGGGTAAGTTTGGAAACAAATGGGGAAAGGTGCTACTTCATTGGCATCGGCAACAGCTTTATTCGCACCGCGGTAAAGTCACCGCGCTGCTTCTTTCTCTGGCCTCCCTAGGGTTTCGATCAAACGCCTCGGGTCTTTAAGCCGCTCTTCAGATCTAGGGTTCGTCGCTCGGCGGCCCCCATGGACGCTCCCCTCTCCGGCGCCGACATCGCGAAGCGCCTCGCCTCCTGCAACAAGGCCGCGCGCGACCGTGCCGTCCGCGTCCTCTCCTCGTGGCTCTGCCGGCAGTCCGACGACGCCGTCTCCGATGCCGACCTCGCCAAGATCTGGAAGGGCATCTTCTACTGTGTGTGGCACGCCGACAAGCTCCCTGTCCAGGCCGACCTCGCCGGCCGCCTCGCCACCCTCCTCGAGTCAGTCTCCGCCCCCCTCGCCGCCCGCTACTTCGAGGCCTTCCTTCTTACCATCCGTCGGGAGTGGAGCGGCATCGACTTCCTCCGCCTCGATAAGTTCTACCTCCTCATCCGCAGGTTCCTCTGCCACGCCTTCCTTCTGTTGAGGAAGAACGCGTGGGATCCCGAGCTCACGGCCCGGCTTACCGGAATCCTCTTGGAAAAATCGCTCCTTTCTGCGGATAACTACCCGGCGAACGGCGTTAACTACCATGTCGCCGAGGTCTTCTTGGACGAGATCAGAGATCTCCTCCCTCTCGCGGTGGAGACGCTGGATTTGATGCTGAATCCCTTCGTTTCGGTGCTGAAGAAGTCTGCGGATAAGGTGCTCGTCAATAAGATCAAGATAAATGTCTTTGACCGGTTACTTGAGAATGGGAGGAAGCTGTTGAATCTCGAGAAGGCTGGAGATAAGGTCGACTCTGGCAATGAAGTCGAGAAACTTGGAAAAGTTGCTTTGTTGCTGGCATTTTCAAAGAAGTTCTTTGATTCTGCTTCTGCTTCAGAGACTCTTCAGGGAAACCGGAAAATTCTGTTCCTTTTGCATGAAGACTTTCTGAAGTTGGAGAACGATTTAGATAAATCTGGAATTCATATCTCAGTCCAGCATTTGGAAAATGGGAGCTCGGAGAATGTGAGCAGTACAGTTGTTACAGAGATGCAGGTTGAGGTGAAGAACGGATGTGGTGATGGTGGCTCTGATGATAAGCGCAATAAAAAGAGGAAGAGTTTAAAGGAATCTTCAGATAGCATCAAGAAGAAAAAGAAAAAGTCTGGAAAAAAGAAGTCGTCCATGGATTCAGTTATGGGAAGTGATGTTGTTGAAGCCACAACCGAGGGTATCGATGTTGTTGATGATGTAAGTTTGAATGGGGATGTGATGGAAACCCATGGATTGATGGATTTTGACGAATGCATGATCTCTAATCTACAGAGACAATTCGAGAAGGCTGCTGCTGAAGCAGGCATGACAGATGATAACGACCAATTTAGTGTTATGCCAGCAACACCTGTTGCTGGTGCTGCCTTGAAAAGGAGGAGGAGGGCAAAGAATGCTGATGTGAAGGTCAATGACAAGAGAAGTAGTGCTAATGGTGAAGGCAATGTTGAGAAGAGTGGGGATAAGAGTGCTAAGAAAGTGAGATTTTCTATGAAGAGTAACTTGGTCTGGAAGCCTAATAATCCTTTGCCTCCACATAGCTTGAGATTGCCACCGTCTGTTACTCCAAAAGGTAGTGCACTTAAGCAAGGAGTTCCACCTGGGCCCATCAGGGAAACCCCTCCAACGATCAAAAAGATTAAGGTGAAGGCAAGCTCTGTAAAGAAGAGCAGGAAGGGTGTTAAGAGTCCTGCTATCAAGCGTCTTAGAAAGTTGCAGAGCCTTTTGGTATAGATCCACATGAATTACGCGGTACTGGATTCTCATTTTGGCTTTGCATATCTTCAGAATTCAGCTTTACAGTGCTTCATATTATCTTTTGTGTTGTGAGTGTTGGTTGGATGCCATTTTATAAAATGTTCATTTCAACTGTTACAAATCAAAAGCATGCTGTGACTTCACATCTGTACTGTTAGAATCCCTTGTTGCTTAGGTTCACAATGAAAAATTAATGAGCTCGATGAATTCAGGTCATTTCCATATCTTTTCCTTTCCTCTGTATACCCTTTTTATGCACATAATTTCCTATTTTCTTATTTTATATGCCTTGACCATTTGAGACACATCTGTTACATTCCTTTTTCCTTGTTTTCAGTAATCATTTCATCGGTTTTCTCTTGAACACTGTTGTTCATTTCCTTAAAGCTTGTTTTTGTTGATGTGAATGTATGTTTGTCATTTATTCTTCTTCAGGATTTCTCTTGCAACTGTGGTGATCGGCAGGATTGATACTATTGAGCCATTTAGGGTTTACAATAATGACAAATGGATTCGGAAAACCGATAGCAACGATAACGAAAAAGCCAAAGCCATATCGGTTATCGATTTATATGAACACTTGATGGGTACATTTTCTTGAATAAGATAGACTGAACGACTCTTGAATCTCCTTATAGCTCCTTCTATGTGTTGGGATGGCTCTTGGAACTTATTGTGTGTTAGGGTTTACAATGATGACAAATGGATTCAGAAGGCCATTAGCGATAAAGCCAAAGACATATTGTTTATCAATTTATTTGAACACTTGGTAAGTGCATTTTATCGAATCAGATAGATTGAAAGGCTCTTGAATCTCCTTATAGCTCCTTCTATCAGAATATTTTACATGATGCTAATTTTACTTGCTCATTATCTGGTTGCAGTTAGTAACAATTCCCCTTTCCTACGTGAGACTCTTGTAATGTACAGCTTGCAGGCTGCAATAGACATTGGCATTTCATATATTCTTATAATGAATGTCTGAGTAATATTCTGAACAAGAGTGCTAAGTATGTATGCAGGTATTAATAATTTGAAATAGGTAAAATGTTATTAATATTCTTCTTACTATCATAATTATTTTAAAGGAAAACCTGGGAGATATATTAAGCTTAATTCAAGCTGCAACACAGCTACTTCAATGATTAGATAAGCTTTTAAATAAAAAATTCCTCATTCGTCATTCACTTTAAATTGCATTGTTTTAATCCTTTGAGCAGCTGATTGTGAGTGGGAAATTATCCCAGGTTTTGATTTCTTCCAAGGAAGCACTTCCAATGAATCTATCATGCTGTCAAACAAACAACTGGTTCATTTTGTTGCATGCTTGTTCACGCATAGCTTATCGAGATGGTCCCCCGCCCACACCTCACACTCCTCTTCATCCTCGTCCTCAAACCCCTCTTTTTCTAAGCTGCCCTCCACACTCTCATCACCAACTCGACCCCCTTCCTCTTGCCCTCTCCTTCATCGATGTCTTCCCCTTTATCATCTTCGTCTGATGATTATATTCTTTTTTCCACCCTTGTCGCACTACGTCACCTCTACTCTCAACTTTATAATGTTCTCTGGAAGGAAGGTGTGGAACATTCAGGAGAGTTTTGCCCCAATTCATGGATGCCGCATTGATCCGTCATCGTGAACGTGCCTTGAAGTCGGAACATTGATGCTTTCTACATTATTTAGGATTTCAAACTACTAATTTCAGGGTATGCCATGGACATTGATCACGATGAGGATTGGTAGAGGCAACATGACAAGGCAAAGGATGATAGAGATAGAGGCAGCACGACGAGGGATGACAGAAGTAACACGATGGGACAGTTGGGGGGAGGGTGATAGTAGATACAGTGTGATAAGATAGAAGGGGGACATGGTGAGACAGGCGATAGTCGACAATGTCCACTTCAAGGAGAACAATATACTTAGGACGAGGAGGTGGTGGCAACGACCAGAGGTCATGGCCCCCCTCCACCAACTCATCCACACCCGAAGCTCTCTCATGGCGATGGTCTTGCCCTCAGGGAACTTCCGCACCTACTCCCTCTTGTGGAATCCTGGACATGTCGTCTGAGTCAACTGCTCCTTGTGCTGTAAAGCTTCTTCTGACGGTGCTTCGGACGAAGGAAGCTTCTACGTGGATGGCACGCCGGCATGCCGTACCTGAAGAGCCACGCCATGAGGGTCTACTCGAGCCTGTGGGACGCCGATGACCGGGCGACGAGGGGTGCAGTTGGTGAAGACGGATTGGTCGCAGGCGCTCGTCACTGCTGCCTTCAGGAACTCTAGTGCCGATGGCTGCGTCAGGGGTTTCCTCATGCTCTTCCGGCAGCACCGAGGCATGGATGTGGCAGCAATTTGCTGCTCCCAGCTTGAATAGGCGGAGGTGATGTGCAGAGGTTCCCTCAGGGGCTGCTCCCTTTGTGCTCTGCAATCTAAGGCCGCTGTAGATGTGCAGTATCTCCTGTTTGATGATGCCATCCTTTGTTTGTAAGATGTGCTCTGTTCTTTGACCATCATCATGCCAATATGTCGATTGTAGATGAGCCCGACAGTCAAACAGTGACATCTAATCATCTGAAAGCAATAGCTCCTACGCATTTTTGTGGGGTTCTTTTATTGTCATCATGAGACTGGTCTTGGGATGGGGCTTTCCAATGTTTGATTTTGGCGTAGGGTTAGAGTTATGCCAGTGTTCTTCCCCTGCTTCATCAGAAGATGACCTTTGATTTCAATCAGTAACATTCTGCACTTGCAACTGCAGAATGCAGATTCTCTCTGTAGCTTTCCTGTACGTAAAGCACTCAATCACATCTGTTTGCTGCAACTGTACAGGCATGCGATTGCAGCGATTAGGGAATCTTCATATTTATATATGCGTGCATAAGCGAAGTATTATGGGAATGATTAAGATATGTTCTTATTTTCATTTCTTTAAATTATTACATGATCTATTCTTTGCTTCATTATGCTTTTTCAAAGATTAGCTTCTGATGTTAACTGCAGAAATGAGTCTAAGCTTACATGAAGGAAAAAGGAGAACAAATATACAGGTGAAAGGTTCTGCTCCTACAAAGCTTTGTGAAATAAGTGGGAGTTTGACCACTGGCTTCTCTGGTAGCCCTCCCTGTAGAGCGCAAGAATGGTATGTGAAGATGGGGACAGTCTCTCTCTCTCTCTCTCTCTCTCTCTTTCATGATAGACACCAATGTATAATTCACCACTCACAAACCCAAACCCTGTGACGAAACTTGCAGCAGTAACATCCTTTGGAACCATGTACAGAGAATTCCACTGCAAGTCTCCATGGTCTGCTGCCCTATCCCCAAGGGAAGGTTGTATATGTTGTTTGATACATGCCACGCTTCTTCCTTTGGCTGCCTCAATGGCCATGACCCAACCGGCTGTGCATTACATGCATGAAAACAATATCCTAAACATGCATGTATAAACACTCTGTATACTGCTTAGATCTGAGTGCAAAACAGTACGACGAGTGTACAAAGTGGAGGTGTTGTTTTCTTCTGCAGACGGTACCCTCTATTTAAGTAGAAGAGGCCGAAGAACTGAGCTGCCAACCCCCACGGGTATAACGGGAGAAGTCTCCACGATTCACCCTTCCTTCTAGCTTTCGTCAGATCTCTTCCCTCTTCCTCTGCTTCTCCCTCTCCATTGTTCTTCTTGGTTTACCTTCCTAGCCATTGTTGCCCAGAATCATCATCCAGAGAGAGCAGAAAAGAAGCCTGTTATTAGCCGTTTGTTCCATCTTACGCTAGTGTGTGAAGTGGTCAGGTCTGTGTACGTTGGTTTCTTTGGTAAAGATGCTCTCTTTTGTCCAAGAGAACTGATGATCCATTAATGCGGGTTGGTGCACGGCAATGATCGAGGAGATGTGGATGGATCATAAGCATCTGTAGATCCAAGGAAGCTCCGTTATTGCCATCTTCCTTTGAGAGAGTAGTACTGCTTCGGTGGCCATGAAGAAGAGATGGGCTCGGGCAGCCCTGGTGGCGTGCTTGATTCTATTCTTCGCCGATTCGCGCGGTTGCGCTCGAAGGATCAACTGGAAGCACACCCACCATCGTCACAAAGCGAAAGAGAAGACATCAGCGATGGAGTTGAGTGTGGATACTGCCACCATTCATCGCCATGGATGCAGGTTGAAGAGGAACGGTGTCGATCTCTGCGGCCGCCCCTTCACGCAGCCGAAGAAGAACGGGAGCTTGGTCGACGAAGACAAGCGGCTGGTGCCGACTGGTCCAAACCCTTTGCACAACAGATGAAGAAAGCATGAAGCAGCCGAAGAGTGATGTGTACAGCTCACAGAAGACTTCTCATCTGCATGCTTCTTCTTCTTCTTATTATTATTATTAACTACAGTGAGTTCATTCAGTTCTCTCTCTCTCTCTCTCTTCTATTATTTCTGACAGATTTATATGAAGATCTGAAACCTAGAGTTTATCCATCTCCTCTTGTTGCAATCATTTATATATTCAGATTAAACCTTTAGGTCTCAGATGGAGGAGTTGTTTACGGAGGGAGTAAAGCCTCTTAACCACTTAACATGTCATTGCAAGTGAGACTTTATATATATATATATATATATATATATATATATAGAGAGAGAGAGAGAGAGAGAAGAAGGTAAAAGGTCATAGAAAAGAGAAGAAGCAAGGAGAAATGTATCAGTTTATTGGGTCGAAAGATGAACAGGATATATGTGGAGTTGATAGGTGGGGGGAGTAAATGGGGCTGCTTGTATGTCTGCCACAAGTCAGCGGAGAGGCGGCAGGGGGGAAAGGACGGTCAGTGAGCACATGAGGCCTCTGCACGGCTTGCTGCAGCTTAACTTGAATGTAGTTGCTATGGTCAACTTTACTCTCTCGTACACAGCCACACACACACACACACTCTCTCTCTCTCTCTCTCTCTTTCTCATACGCAACACACGCGCACACACTGGCTTTGTCTGTCTCTCACAGACACAGGTAGGCACTGACTTCATAGCTCGTTCTCTCTCTCCTTCACTCGTACACCCAGTCTCGGTCTCTCTCTCTCTCCCTCTCTCTCACACACGCATTGACTCACAACTCTTGTCTGTAGATGACTCCATTTTACTGCCAAATGAAGTTGAAGAGGGATGGAGAAGATGGTTGATGACTCCATCAACTTACGTTGGCCATGGATCACTTCATGTTGGTTACCTTTTGTTCACTAAGAAATTGATTAACCATCATATAAACTTCCAAATGAGGGGCCACAATATATTTCATTTAAAAATTGACTGCATTTCCATGAACTTTATCTAAAACCGCACTCACATATGATTTAGATACTCTTCCATAATTTTAAAAGAATTATAATTTAAATCTTTTTTTAAAAAATTAAAGAAAAAGAGAACAGAGGAGACGATAAAAACGAATTGAAGAATATTTAGCTCAAAAGTGATGAGAACACTACGAATAGAAAATGTTATTCCATATAAAATCAATATTGAAGACTTCTTCCCAGTTATATATTGTGTCTTCTTTGAAAGAAAAATAGGTCCAGATTGACAGGAAAACAAAAAGAAAACTGCATATTATCTAATGTGAATAAACTTCATAAACCTCAAATTTGCAAGGTGAAGTAACATATTTTGTTTATGGCAGACATCAACAAACTCTAATGTCAAAGAGGGCGGCCTGAAACAGGACAGGAAATGTGCTTTCCAAGTAAGTTGAAATTACAGATAGCGATTCTACAGCAGAAGCAATAAAGAATGTTCACATCAGTCAGAAGCATGATTATTCTGAATCAAATGAATCGAACAGGAAGTTCATTAAAACAATGAAACTAAGAAGCAGTTGATGATACTGACTGATCATAATATTGTTAAGTTGAAGGATGAAGAAGCCATGACAAGAACCTCAAAAACTTTCAGAAGCTTGGCATGTACATGGGCCATGGAGTGAAGGAAGAATAGCTTTACTATGGAGGGAAATTATCTGCAAAAAGGATGTGTTGAAATATGATGCATCAGTAGAAGAGAGACAAGCTTAGGCAAGTTGAAAATGATTCTCATAAAACTTGAAAGAAAAGAATTTGGCATGCAAGCAAAGTAAATGTTCTTTGCTTGCATTAAGAAGAAAAAAACTGCTTCTTTCCCAACACAGCCATGGGTTCCGGTGCTGCTTCACTAGAAAATGATCAGACTTATTGCATGTGTTCCACATGTATGCACTATACAATCCACTTGCAAGTATATAAGATTTATAGGCCAATGAGGTGCACTGATTGCATAATTGTTTATCTGTCCAGTTCAATATTCTCAAATTCTCATTGTTTCCAGAGCAATATAATAAGATTGTCAGGTTCAAGGCCAGCTCCAACCACAAAAGAACAATCAAGTATCACAAAACAGATTGTACTCCAAGAAATGCATAGGTAAAAGAAACATCTTTAACCAAGAAATATCTAGATTATGCAAGAACATTAAGCAATGCACTTTTTAGTAGACTATGATACTCTTGGATTAAGTGTGGTACAAAGTGACAGCCAAAACCTGCAGAGAGCAGATGCAGAAGCATGGACCACAGGAAACTCCAAGTGGTAGTTCTACCTGCACTGGAAGATTTTTATTCAAAAAAAAAAGCATTTCCCACTGTTAATGGCCAGGAGGAACTCTTACCATGGTCACTGTTGGACAGTTTAAACTATTTGTACAGGGAAAGAAGAAACAATATTTGCATAAAGAAGCACAGTCCTCACAGTGATTGCTAATCTAGTCAGCAAGATTCCGACTTCAAAGAAGTATAATTCTTAGAGCAAGAAAAGAATACTTTTGATTGTATTAACAGAAAAGAATAGATCATGTATAATGTCTTGCAAGCCTCTGTAGCTCCAGTGTCATGGACAAAACTTCATACCATCTCCAATTGCATGGATGACTAGCTTTGTTATGTTTTGAGAGCTTTCTTGCTCACAATATACGTTAAAAAGAAGTGAGTTTAGCATAATCTAATTCTGATAGTTTTACTCCCTCAACTGAATCCCTCTTTCAGTATACCGATGTTGCAGAAATCTATAAGCCAAATGAATCATGAGGGCAAGGCTTGGATGTAGCTGTACTAATTCAATGCATGTTGAGATCTAAATCATAAGCAAAAATACTAGAAAGCATATCAAAGGATCAAAAGAATGACACCAGTGGTCCTTATTCTCGTTCAAGCTCTTTGCTCAGCATTTTACACAAAAAAGGAAACCGACCTAAATCAACTCACACTCGAGTGTTTCCTCTCTTGTATTTCCTTAAACAGGCTAAGATCACCAATCCGCTCTCGTTATCGCTCCAATGGGTTGGTATGTAGGAACGCAAGATTTTTACTACACGCAAAGTATTAGGACTTCAAATATGCAAAGAGAATTGACGGGAGAGAATGCATTCAAAGACCAATTGAGAGCATCCACCGGAAGCACCTAAAGCTAAATGATTCATGAATTTCCAATCCAACAGTAATTTACTACAATAAATAACAGGAAACCTGATTGAGCATCAACATATGAGTGCATTCATTCTTTCCCGCACTTATTGAAGAGAGAAAGCAAGTAACCAAGAAATGTATCAATAGCAGATGAAGACATGAAATCCCCTTCAGCTCCAAGCATCTCTCAGTGACAGATTATTATCTACATAGCCTAAAAAACTGGGCTTTTTAACACAACATCTAAAAATCGCACCTTTTTCGACAAAGATCAAGAGAAGAGAGCCCTAACCTTCGTCGTCGCCGTCCTTGCCCACCCCCGACCTTGATGGCTTCGCACCCGAGCACCGATCAGGGTGGTGTTGGTGATGGTGGTTGACCTTCGCCGGTCCCCAAAACCCTGTCTTTCCGGCCTCCGTAGCCTTGGGTTTAGTCTCCACATAGGTGGCCGAGCTCATCTCCATCTGCGCCACCCGGACAGCCCCCAGGAGCCGCTCCGGCAGCTCCTCCTCCGCCTGAGCCTCCACCAGGAACCCCATGTCGATGGTGACCGCCGTCACGTAGCCGAGGGCGAGGTGGAGGATGGCATTGGCGATGGCGGAGCTCCCGATGTCGACGTCGATCTCGAGGTAGTTCTCCCCGCGGTGGTAGTTGCAAGTGAGCGCCTTGCCCAGGAGGCAGGCGGCGTGGTTCCCGACGGCGGCCCTCACGATCCATGGGCCCTTCACGATCCGATTCACGATCTTGAACCGCGAGTTCCGGAAGGCATCGTCGCCGTGGACAAAACGGTAGAAGAGGGAGCCCGGCGGGATGGGCTCCACAGCGGCGAAGTAGAAGACGGCGGAGTGGCACTCGCGGCCGGGGACCTGGAGGTTGACGGCGAAGAGGAAGGCCTTGCGGGCACCGCCGAGGGCTTGGGTGCGGCGGAGGGCCGCGGCGACGCGGTTGTCAGGGCGGCCGAGGACGTCGTCCAGGCGGGAGGCGGATCGGAGCCAGTCGACGCCGGCGGGCTCGAGGAGCCACTCGCCGGAGGGGCACTTCTGGCGGCGGGCGAAGTAGTTGAGGCCGCGGAGGTGGAAGAGATCCCCGGGCGGGGAGGCCCAGCCGTTGGTGCCCGTGTCGAGGTCAACGTGTCGAAGGGACCCGCCCTCGATCGCCTCCTGCCGCCAGTCGTAGCAGGGGTCCTCCGCGGCCCTCGCGGGCTCTGGCGGAGGCGGCTCTCCTCCTCTTTGGCCGGCTGTGTCAGCAGGTTTTTTCGTCGTCGGGCACATCTCCGCCGATGACGCCTTCACCGTCTTCTCCCCCTCCCTCCTCGTCCAACCAAAACGGCAGGCAAATATTTGTAGAAGGCGACGCCGTGTGCTCCGCGATGGGAGCCAAGAACGGCACTTCATATTGCCATCGGAGATGGCATTAATCACGACAAATTACCATTCGTTTGGGATTAGCCGTCTTATGTAAGATAAAAGTCAAGCTTATCCCAAACTTACAGTGTCGCTCAAAAGCTGGGTCCCACCACCAACTGTAGGGTCACGGCTAAAAACTCCCATGAGAAACGCTGATTCGATGATTGCTATTCTGGAGGAGACTTGCGATTGAAGTCCTTGTTACCGAGGAAGCTGAACCCTGTACGGCCCAAACAGCTGAGCGACACCGGCCGACCACTGGCGTCATCTGTCCATCGATTACCACAGAGAGAGAGAGAGAGTGACACGGGAAGCAAGTGGCGAAGCCGGAGATCGGATGTGAAGTAGGACGTACACAACGACAATATTGGCTTACCAGGCTCTGCCACGTTTCCCGCCTCTCGAAGGCAATGGTCAGCTTCTCGACACGCGATGGGAATGAGTTGGTTACGGACTTCTTTACTTCAACTACTACCCACAACATGTTCGACGAAATGACCTTCCCCCACTCAAACTCATGCTATGCGTACTTCCACTGCGCACACGTCTCGACGCAGGCCAAGCGCTGCGTGCGTGCTTCATATGTGGATAAAGAATGCTTGCAGAGCTACACAGCAGATCTGATTTCGGGGATACTGCATCATTTTCTAATTACTGATACAGCTACTGCCTGCAGTGCCGAATACTGTGGATGTTGCAGGTGGATGGTTGCGTATGATGGACTCTTGCGAGTTATTGTGGAGCGGAAGTGGATGATGATGCATCGAACGGGGGTGGAAGAGGACAAAACACCATCACGTCCCTCACATTGATGTGGGTGGTTCCGCTTTCCCCTTGGAAGGCGGTGGTGCGTCTGCTTGTGGCTTTCTGCTGCATCCTGGGCTGGGAGCCGTGCGGACCGAAACGAGGCGACGCAAACGAGAAAGCTGATAAGACAGGCCTGACAAAGAAAGCGTAGAATTGAGACTGCGATGGAAGAAGAAGAAGGGAGAGTGCTTAATGTGATGGTTGGAGTACTGCGTTGCATTGTGATGGTTGGACGGGAAAGATGAATGGTACTGCTACTGCTGCTACCAAGATCGGCTGGCATGCAGTGGTCACTTCCCTCATGGTCATCACATAACAATTCAATTGGTGGTGCTCTCCAAGCTCTGCACACAGCAATCTTTGACAGCTCCTTGTAGCTTGGACTGGCGTTCTTCAATCACGCCATGAGTGCTTGCTCTCTCTGAAATAAACACAAGCTGGTATCACATCATTGTTCATGAAAAGTAGAACAGTGCAATCGTGCAGACAAGTACGGTGGTCAACATATTGCAAAAGCTCATATACCCCTCTTTGAAGTTGAGCCACAGGAGCTCTTAGATTCTTGGCTTAGTGATGATCTTTAAGACCAGCTGCATGCATCTCATGGATTGCATAAATCCACAAAAGAAACTTCATTGACAAAGGAAGTATCATAAGAACAAAAAGGCAAATTACAACATTAATTACAATAGGAATCAAAAGAATGGAGTCAAGTCATGAACTTTTCTTTGATTGAAGCAAACTCAAAACAATTGATTATAAGAAGTATATAAGCAAGGGATGACTTGTTGACTGTGATCATCTCCCTTGCAAAGCAAACCTGAAGCTAACATACTGCAGCATCATCCAAATGAGTATTGTTAAGCAAAGCTACTGTTCAACCCATTTGTTGATAAAGGAAAGTACTTTCTTTCTTTCACTTAACATGACTTTTCATAGGAAGAACATGCAAATTCACTAGCTGTAAAAGTTATAAGGTAAATAAAAGAGTATCATGATACTTGAAAGCCAAAAGGCAACAAGGAAACTAAGGAATCATGGACCAAAATAATATATAGCAGGGCTTTAATTTCTTTCCAAGGTCTATTTAGAGGCAGATAGAAACAATGAACTCTTTTCACCATGCTACTCTAAATAAATAGAGCACAATCTCTTGAAGAAAACACACATATATATATATATACATATTGTTACAGGTAGTCAAACTTAGTAAGGGTCCTTCCGGCCATGATATGGTTCTTCTCTCTCCTCTCTCTCTCTCTCTCTCTAGATACTTATATTTCATCTCGAGAATTCTACTCCCAATATATCTCAGCTAACTTGAGCATTCGAGGAACCTTTCACCATGCTTTTATAAGTCAATTCAAGTCCTCTATCCACTTTTAACATAGGACTAAATTAAGACTGTTATAATTCAGCTCTTGAGATAATAAGACCTGAACAGCTGAAGGAGAAGTAGCAATTTAGCTGTTGATGTTCCCTCACTGCTGCTTCTTGATGCCAGGAAATCTTCTTGGATTGGTTCATGATACCTTTTACAACAAATGGGACCTAAGATTGTTGCAACTTGAAGGCAGGAATTCTTCTTAGATTGCTTCATGGTACGTTGCACAAGAAATGGAGCCTTAGATTCTTGAAAGTGAGTGTGGATCAAGAGATGAATGATGGATATGGTGGAAAGTGGAGAAGACAGTGGTCAAGAAAAAGGCTAAAAGCTCCAAAGATGGCATTGCTTGTAAGCCAAAATGTAGACCACTGAGCTGAGCTGTGGCGATTGGTGGGTCACTCAACCACATGGACAGCCTATGCCACTGACACAACTATTCTTCCTAATGCTGACAATGTCCTTGCTTATCTATCATCTGAGAGCTTACTGCATCATTGAATTAGGTAAATGGCTTAGACTAATCAAGCATAAAGGCATGTCCAAGAAGAAGAAGAAGAATAAGAGATGCTGGTATGTTGGATGTCTGTGTTGATGATGACGGATGCCTCTGTTGATTCACAGTGCAGGGTTGTCCTCTGGTATTATGAATTGGAAGCTGCATTAGAATGCACTTGATCATCATGTGCTGTTGTCTCCAGGAATCTCATCCCTTCCATGTTGATTTCCCTTCTCATGGACATGTTAATGTCCACAGATCTTTGGCTGCAGTCTTTCACTGAGAGAATTTTCTACAACTTGATGACACTCATCCAGAGGAAGTACAGAAGCTGTTTTCTTCAAGTGTTTACAGATCGAAGTCATGAGATTACTCCCACATTACTGCAATGAAAAGAAGAACCTGTGCATTGTAGCTTGAATCTATTACATCTATTTGCTTCAATACATACATATATTATATATATATATATATAATTTCACCCCAACAACAGAGAAAAAGATGAAGACCATGAAATCATTCACGTCCATGCACAAGAAGAAAGAAGAAATCAGAAGAAACAAGGAAAGAAGCTACAGTAGACGTAACCAATCCACGCAGGATTTCTTCTTGAGAGGGAGGGCGAGAAAGATGGAGGTGAGATCACAAGGCACGTCATAAAAGCCATTTGGTGGAGCCTCTACCGTCCGCTTTGCAGGTCTCCGCTTTCTCGGGGCGGGCGGGCACACGACGGCCGGCCTCAGCGTGTGTTCCTCCGCCACCGGTGTCACGCACTCTTCCTCTTCGCCGTCCTTCGTTCTTGGACCGCCTTCCACGGGCTTTTCTTGTATCAAGGAGGACGTCTTTATAGCCGGAAGCAAAGGCAATTCGCCCACGACGACCACCTCAAATCCCATGGACGCGAGAACCCGAGGAGGAGGAGGAGGAGGAGAGAACACAAAGACACAAGTCTCTGTGGGGAACAGGAGAGAGAGAGATAGAGGGAAGGACAAGTAGTTAAATAGTCACGTCCATGAAAAGGAAGATGATGATGAGATGATGGAATGATTTGTATGAGGAAGGAGGGCCAGTAGAAAGACAGAAAGGTATCATTTACCGAATGCATGAAAGACTCAGAGGAAGCCTTGGATCACTTTGCTGCTCAACCATGCATGTCTGCTCCTCTATCAATACCATCATCAAAGAAATGAATCAAGCTTGAAGAATACATGCAATCATAGCACTAAACAAGTTGGTGTGGGTGTCTTTAGGGTAAAGCTTGAAGGCCTTGGATCTACAAAGAAAAGCTACCCCAACCACATGGGATTTGTAGGGTTGGAAGGGATTAAGCTTCCCACCGAAGAGTTGTTAATTGCTGCACCCCCTTCTTTACGTCAAAAGGTGGGAAAGATTCTTAGAGATGGCAATGATATCAAACACTTCATGTGGCTACTACCAAGCCAAAGAGAAATTTTATATGCAGTGCCTTGTACAGCAGTCAACTCATGGATCTAACTTGAAGAAGGGATTACATGATTAGTTTTATCCTAAGAACACATGGTAGATGCCATCCTCTCCTTGTCACCCACATTATGATGAACCTGAGATAGCAAGGTGGATCACATGAAATGCAGGAAAGCAGAAGAATGAAGAGACTGAGAAGAATGTACATACCAGCCACTTCTAAGCAACTAATTATGGAAACATTTAACTAGGTGTCAAGTTCAATGTTAAGACACACTCTTATACCCTACAGCATAAGAAAAATATTGTGAGAGGAGTCTATGCAACCCTTGAGGACATCAAGAGGTTGGTTGGTGGTGTGTCAATGATCAAAATAATCTATACAATGTTTTTTCAGATACATAGAGAATTTATAAAACAATAGATTATCTTCTTACTTATATAGAAATCTTACCAAAATCTTTTTTTTTTCCTCCAAGCAATCCAATTGAAATAAAGAATATAATGCCAATTTTAATAGAACCAAAGTGAGAAGATGAAGAATTTGATTCCCAATAAAGTAGGAAGATTTCATGGCCTAATTGTATTTTATTACTATGTACTTGCTGACCATACAAATAATTGAATCTTTTAACAGGGTAGTCCATGGGCTTGTTTGAGCATATCAGCCTATTTAAGGCTCATCTGCATAGCAATAAATGAGAGCAAAGGACATATTATTTAATGGCCATACAAATAGTAGAGTGAGACAAGCAACCACAATATCCTAAAATAACTCCCTCCCTTGGAATTTCCAAATTGCATATTTGAATTAATAAAATGGAATTATGTTAAAAAAAGCTATGCCAAATATGGGACAAAATCTTGTAGAATTCTAGTGTAATTTCATTTGTGCATGATGAGATGTTGAGACCATGATGACATTTTAAGTGAATTATTGCTTATAAGACCCATAGGTGATTGCATGTTCAATGCATTGCTTTTGGTTAGATCTCAATCAAGGTTAGGTCAAGCCATTCAATATTAGCTATTCAAATCCCATGTGTACAATTTATTTTATTTAACATAAATAAATTGAATACATCATCTGGATTACAATCTGCATGATTTTTTTTTTTTTAAATATTTTGTAGGTTTATTATAATTTATTGAGAAGTTGAATAAGAGCATACGGATCAGCAAAAAGGAAGTCAGACAAAGTCTACTCATCGAACGGCTGATAGCGTTTTGAAACCTCGTGATTGGTGAAAGGCCAGACGTCGATGTACCACTGCGGCTTTTATTACTCGCAAATGCTTTTCTTACTATCAAAACTACACAGGCGATGTCTACCTGCCTTTTAATTGGAGAACAAGAGCTCTGCAGGCAAGCCCCACCCACTACCCAATCACCCAACAGGTACAAGAGTGGATGAGAATGAAAGAATATATTGCTTATTTTAATTTATTCTTTTTCTTTTGTATTTTCTTCGTTTTTTAAACACGAAAGACAAGAAATCCACCCTCGCACGTACCTCTGTCTAAAGGTGGGTCCCCCATCAGGTCTACCGTTTCCATTTAGCAGCAACGGAGGTAGGAGATTTGTCTGGGTAGACGAGAGTGTTGCTGCGAGTTTCGGTCTCAACGGAAGAGAAAACGAGCGATCTTAGCCGTCGGATGGACGTATGGATGGATGGGCACCGTTGACACGAATCTTAACGGTCTCTGTCTTCCTCCTCTCACCCACTATAAAATGTCCCGCTCTTCTCCTCGCTTCGCTCGCTTCGGCTTTGTGTTCTTCTCTTCTGATGTTCGCTTACTTATCTGCGAGTGATGGCCGTTGATCTGGTGGGGTACACAAAGATGGACGACCGGATCGCCATCCAGGAGGCGACCGCCGCGGGGCTTCGCTCAATGGAGCACCTCATCCGTCACCTCTCAAACCCCCACCGCCACCAGCAGCAGCAGCTGGACTGCCACGAGATCGCCGATTTCGCTATTTCCAAGTTCAAGAAGGTCATCGCCATCCTCGACGGCACCGGCCACGCTCGGTTCCGCCGCGGCCCAGTGGCGCCGGTTCCTCTGGCCGAGCCGTCGTTGCCAGCCGCCGCGAAGAGTCTTACCCTCGCGCCGATACCGCTGCGCGTCATCCACCCTCACCACCCGCTCCCGCCGCCTCCCAAGACGACGCTGACCCTCGACTTCACCAGGCCAGTCTCCACCGCTGCGGCTGGCGAGCTGCCCCCGCCCACTCGATATGGCAAGGAGTACTTCAGCATCTCAATGCCGATGACGTCCGCGACGTCCTCGTTCGTGTCGTCCGTCACCCGAGACTGCAGCGTGTCGAACGGCAATCTCGCGCTGTCCTCCCTCCTCCTCCCGCTGCCCGCCGCCGCCTCCGCCAGCAGGCCGCCCCTCTCGTCCGCGCCTAAGTGGCGGTGGCATGAGCACTCTCATGCCCACTCGGATCACGTCGCCGGCAAGAACGCCGTCCCGGGCACTCGCTGCCACTGCTCCAAGAGAAGGTAATCGAGCAGATCTGCTACCTGCTTATGGTAGCAACTCGTGCGCCTGGATCAGCGCTCTAGCTAACCTACGCCGCGGTTGTGCCCCAAACTAAATCACCAGTCTCGTTCGTGCTTTGAGCAGGAAGCCGCGGGTTAAACGGACGATACGGGTGCCGGCGGTGGGCTTGAAGGCGGCCGACATCCCGGCCGACGAGTATTCGTGGCGAAAGTACGGGCAGAAGCCCATCAAGGGATCACCTTACCCCAGGCAAGGACTCGTTCTCCGCACGTCCGATCTCGAACCAACGGCCCCAGATTGATCTAACGCCCTCTTCTCCTTTATGGTGTTGCAGGGGTTACTACAAGTGCAGCACCCTGCGGGGTTGCCCGGCAAGGAAGCACGTGGAGCGGGCGCCGGACGACCCCTCGATGCTGATCGTGACCTACGAGGGAGAGCACCGCCACAGTGCCGCCGCCATCTAAGGTCGTCCACCTAATTCCAAGTTCCAATCACGACCGCTCATTCCATATGCATCTTCTTTTACTTCCTTCTTTTCCTGTGATATATTTATGTACAATATTTCCATGTTCCCCAAAGAAATCCGAGAAAATTTTGACCCAATCTGGTGCGGTGGGGTGGAAGTGGGAGCCTGTGATGAGGGTACGGTTTGATGGCGGCATTTTTATTTTTCTTTGTCCGAGTGAGTGGGTGAGATTGGAAGTTGAAGTAGGAACCATAATTAAGAATCTGGTAATAGAGGACTTAAATGGTGGCAGATCAACCCGCGCTATCTCACTGTGCAGATAATTGACATGCATCTCAAGGTTGAAGTGATTTAGTGGTTTAATTTGTCACTAGCTGGCTACACAATTTCTTTGTTGCTGGAGGGTTATATATTTAAATTTTGCTGGTGAAAAAAATTACATTTGAGATATTATTGGAATCAGGTTTCTGTGTGTGCCTGACAAAGGAAAAACAAATAATCATTTTTTCTAAAAGAGGGAGTCTATTAAGATCTTACAGTTCTACAATAGGACCTGTATAAAGAATGGAGGATCACTCCATAGAATCATGAGAACTTGTGTATGCTGAAAGAATCACATTTATTTTCTACTCTGAGGAGACACTTGATGGTTTAATGATTGTGTGCAATATAGCAGTCTGGATATATTCACATATATATGATGTAAAACATTTTAAGAAAAAGAGATACTCTTAGGAACAAGAAAGAAAATTATTGGCATGAGTAATTTGGGTTCGAAAGGATTCCTTGACAATTACTTGATATAAACTACAAATGTTTGTGAAACCTTTTACGATGAAACTCTTTGGATAAAATACTTGAAATGGAGAATACAGTAGCACATGCAATGGTTGAGGTTACCATTCTATTAGTGGGACTTGACCTACCTGACTACTACATGGATAGTGGAAGAAGCTTTGATTACTTTGCCAAAACTAATTGGATTTCAATTGGTAGATTTGACATAGATATTGTAGTGTACTATCTAAATTTGACTTGTGCCAACCAAATGAAGACATCGAAGTGTAGAAAAATGTATTCCCGTGCTCACAATTTTCCAACTTGATCTATATGCATAGTTCATGCCCACTAGTAAGTGTCTTTTTCTGGCATGAATTATATATTAATTCTGGTGGGTGGTTGTGGGTCTTGCATGATGATGACTGTAGAGGAAATGCCAATGCCCACTTGCCTTTTCTAGATGAGGAACAAATTCCTATATATATATATATATATATATATATTAATGGCAATACAAATGGATGGCCTAATAGTGTCATAGCGAACTTGAGCATTGTTTTTTATGCTTTTAATTTCTCATTTGGACTGATGGATCCTCAAGAACTTTGATTACCTCCATTGTTAATAAATACAATCGATCATTAAAGTGACGAGGTATTGCTACATAACCATAAAGAAATGTCACAAAAAAAAATTCATAGCAGCTCATGCATGTAATTTTCCCATTATTTTGATTGGCCTTTGATCTCGGTAAGGATGGATAATTTTATACTTTTTAGGATTAAAAAGACTTCTGCCACAACCAACCATAATGCCCAATGTTCCAGCAATTTAGGATCAATTACATAAATCTCATCACCACTATGCTTGTGTAAGAAAAAAATATATGTCAACTATCAGCATAGAAGTGCATATATATTTTATCTGAGATCAGCTACATAGATCATTACTTGCCGTTGAGTTCTATAAAAGATATAATAGTATATATCAGCTATCAGCTCGAAAGTATATATTTTCAAAGTCATACTAGGGTCTAGGAGAAAGAATGTTCTAATTATTCATGGAGCATGCCGAGGTAATGCATGGCAAGTCTTGTAGAAAATTAAAGAACAAAACATGAAATACCTAATATTACTGTAGTGATTTTGAAGATAATAATTCTTTACCAGCAACACAATAGGATACTAATTCTTTGCTACTGTTGCGGTTCTTGTTTGTATAACTTATTTATTTTTTTCTGTTCAAAATGACCAGAATACAGTGCTTTATGGGTGGATATCATGACTTTGTTAGGGTATTGACAACTGTGTTATTGACTAAGGTTGAGATTTTTGCGGAAGAAAGCTGAAATAGTAAAATTACAAGATAGAGTCAGGCATCTCCTTATGAACCCAAGATGGTCTTTGGCTTCTGCTGGGTGGCCCTGTCATTGCATGCACTTGGGAGGAAGCAAAACAGTCTTCCATGCACTTGCAGCAGAGCGACAAAGCTACTCGTGTTTCCACAAGTTCTCCATGGATTATGATTGCAGATGCATGGAAAAGTATTCCACCTGTGTTTTTTATGCAAGAGCTGATCAAATGCATATGGGAGAAACAATTCTGCACTGTGGCATCACCAGGGCATGACCCACTCTGGAACGAGAGGTCGAATGGTTTCAACCTCATAGGCAGGGAAGGTATTCAAAGATACTGCACCTCGTTTCTGATTGCTGCTGTAGTTGTTTACAATGAGCTGTGTAACTGTATGATTGCTGCTGCAGGTTTACAAAGAAACAAGAGATCAAATGGTTTCAACTTCACAGGCAGGGAATGGATTCAAATGAACTGTTCTGGTTGCTGCTGCAATTTATTTTTGTTGGATGGAGCTCAATAACAGACGTCTAAGAGGTCTCATTTCTTCTTTCTAATGTTAGCGTCACTTTCAATGAGATATTGCATGTCTATGTCAATTTGCTTCTATTTAATTAATGCTATTCTGGCTGCAGTTCCTTCTTGTGTTTTGCACTTGTCTCATCTCACCTACTAAAAGAAAAGGTATCTTTGCAGTCTTCCCAGTCAATGAAAACATGTTTATCTTGTTGAGACCTTCCAATTAGTGTCTTGTCCCCTGGAAGATTCATACAATGCTGGGCCCATATGACATCAAAACCTTGCCAACCTAGTGCCAGAAAACACAGGAAATCATGGACAGCCCCTTTAAGAAGTTTGATGACAATGGATAAGTAGGCGTAGGTCTTGACAAGTTTCACAACTTGCCCACTGTTTTTGCATGGTTGCCTGTCCTTTTCTGCCACCCAATTAATTTGGCCATCCCTATTGGATTTGACCTTAGGTTTCCAAGAGCTGTGTTGCAATTTTTCATTTTTTTCTAATGCTTAAGAAGTATTAACATGAATCCAGCAAATAAACTGGTGGATTCAGATTAAAAATTGACAGCTCTAATTAAGTAGAATCATGGATTTTCTTTTTTAATACAGTAGTGTTCATCAAATAAGGAATTTTGAATCTTATATCTTGATATATGTGGCACTTATTTTATTGTAACATTTATCAGTAATGCTTCTATTTAGTGTTGGGATGGGTGGAAACCACCTACAGTATCTTCCTGTTGCAATATATGCCAGGTGCATGTCTTTTTCTTGAACCTTAAAAGTCAAAATAGGGAGAGGTTATTGGGCAAAGCAAACAAGAATCTTTCTCAGTCTTAGAAACTTTGTTTGCTTATAACAAAACTAGTAAAATCCAAAACCAAAATCACATGGTCAATATTCACAAAAAAAGTATTCATAAATTTTGGATGATTTGTAATAATTCTGTGAAAAAGAATAGAATTACAAGTCATGGAAAGCATTAGACTACTTATTAACTATTTTACATAATTAGAAAATATAGGAATCAGATTTTTTGAGTATTTGCCTTATATATGATTTTCTTTCTTAGGTTTCTCCACCAAAAACATATGTAAAATTATGAATGCATCCATAAAAAAGATGAGCTTTGCTAGCAAAATTTCAATCAACTAAAACTTCCACAATTACAATTCAACTAAAATAAATTAAAAGAAAAAAGATGAAAAAATTGTTGGATCAACTTACGAATAATTTTGATCATAAAATCTTATATGTGGCATCCATCTTTAGAATTTTTTGGATTTTTAATCATAAAGGTTAATATCTATTGTTTGATAGTCAATTTTACTTTTCAAGTTTACAATTTTTTTTCCAAGAGAAGTTTACGATCATGCAGATGACAATCAACATTGTAAATCATTGATGTGATAGGTTAATATATTTATAAGAAACCTTATCAATAGCTTGGGCTATAGAGTTCATGAATGATTTGTGATGGGACACCATGCAAGTTCATTATCCAGATTCATTTTATTTCCACTCCATCCATGCTGAACATTGAATTCTGTTCCGAAAAACAATATGATTTTGGTGTTTATATTTGTTTAATTCAAAGAGCAAAAATGAGGAATTAGTGTATTACCCAGAGGACTCCTTATATGCACCTTATATACAACACACCTACAAAATGATCGGGCATTTGGATGATGTCTCTTAAATGTCATTAAGTGAGCCCATTAATGCTTCAGTTGGACCGTTGTGCTATCATAACTGTGCTATGATTGAATGGTAGAACTATTTTATAAGAATCCCCATTGATAATAATTTTAATATGCAATATACTTCTATAATATAATTAAAATACAATCACAAGGGTTATCTTACCATCTTCTTATTCTTCATTTTACCTCCAAAACTTTTTTTTCGAAACAATATTATATCATTCAAGAGTGTGGGCTTTAGTATAATGCTAGGGTCGTTCATTTGGGAGATCATAATCTGAGTTACGGAAACAGTCTCTATATTTAGAAGGTTGCATACATTAACCATTTCCTAGACCTTAAATTAACGGGAGCTACATGCACTAAGTATGAGACATAGGATTAAATGAGCTATCAACATTAGTCATTGCAATTGTTTTGCATAATATAGAGAAAATTTGATTTGGTGGTCGGGATATTGATAATTATTTTTGTTGAGCCATAAAACCCAAAGTAAATTTTTAAGAAGTCTCTAATTGTCAAAGCTAGACTCTCTCACTCCAATTGTCAAAGAACATAAATTAAGGAAGATTAAGGTTCAAATTTGTTCTAAAACGTTCCCAGAGTATGTGAGCATAGACACACTCAAAGAAGATATAATTTGGAGAATCAGATTAGAGTTTTAATGGTAATTATATCTTGGATTCCTAAGCCTCCCAAATAGTTACATATCCTAACTAATAATATCATATTTATTTTTTTAAAATCATTTTCATTCCAATAGAACTCCCTTGGCAACCAACCATCTTCCTAATAATTTTGTAAGACACCCAATTATTTAAAAGAATATAAGTAGGAAAGGAATTAAGAACAAAATCGATCCTGACAACTTTACCAAGCTATCGTAGACAAATCTTTTTCAGCCATCACACTTTAATATCTCTCAGGTAATCTACCAAAGGAAAATACAAATTTGGTGTTTGATCAACCGGTCACAATTTGGTGGTTAATCATACCTGGGATCTACTGGGTATGTTTCCACTTGTCGGATCGACATGGCAAGAATTCTCAGCTCATGATTGGGCAAGTCTTCTTGGAAAATGCTTTGGGTGGAATCAAATTTGCTAAACATCATGTGTACAATGTTAAATTTTGCATGTACTTGTACCAAACATGATACAGTGTGACCCTTGGTGTCATTAGGCTTGTATAGAGGCTTTAAATGATTAAAATAGCCAGTATTTGTTCAGTTGATATCTTTGTTACATCGGTCAGTCTCCGATGGGTTTATATGTGGATGACAGTATCTAAACAGAGTTAGCTTGGACAGGAGTTGTTTTCACTTTTTGTTGTGCTTGTTTTCTTTTTCTTCTTTTCCTGTATGGTGGACAGAGTCCATCTTTCATCAAATGCCATGATCAAGTTTTCCTTCTACCTGATGGCTAGATGAAAGCCCACTTTGCTATGAAGGATTGTTGATGGCGTCATGAGTACTTGGAAGTATTGTTGATTAGTGAAACTGTTGTGTACGGAAGAGTACAATATCAAGAAGTTCCAAATCTATCAGGTTGAGTATAGACTATATTCTTGTGACTTGCTCTATATTATTTCTCTTTTGCACAGAATAAGTTGCAAAGACAGATTTGATCCCAATACCTTATTATCAACATCAAGGGCTTTACCAACTAACTAGGAGAGTCGATCCAACTTATGACTTATGAGAGCCACGTGTTGTTCTTTTGAATCTTCGAACAAATTGAAGATAATGAGTCCCACTTATGGGAACTCTTTGGGGGAAGTATATAGTAAGCAAACCTTTGAGGTCCAATGCTTAAGAACAAACTTCCTTCTTCCTCCCCTTTGAGGAGTCTTCTTGATGCCTTGCTTCTTCCTCCCCTCTAAGAAGGATCTTATCAATTTGGATGGATCGAAGAGTTCAGCTCATCTCCTTCTCGCTTAGTTGCTTGTGATGGATCTTATCAATTTCAAAGATCATTATAAAGTTGAATATTTTCTTTCAAGTATTTGCTATCTATAAGGTTGCTCCTTTGTAACATTAGAGGGTGGGTACTGGTACAACAGTAAGTTGCTTCTTTGCACCTTGAGAGATTAGGGTTTAAGTCACGGAAATAACCTTTTCATATTTAGAGGTAAGACTGTGTATATTGATTCTTTCCTGATCCTGCATTAATGGAAGCCTTATGCACTGGGTACATACACCCTCTATGCTCATTTGCTATCCATAACAACCATAAATATATCCCATTCAAGTAACAAGTTTGAGAATAAATATAACTAGAATAATGCTAAGACTCCTCAAAGCACCCACAACTATGTTTGTCTTTTGTATATATCCTCCTGCTCACTAAATAGGAATTACAACTCCTGATTTCTCCAAGTTTATTTCAGCAAAATCTTTCCCAAACTTCCAAACCATTGAGATATTCTACCAAGTTGAGCTTGGGTAATAGGATTCTTATATCAAGAAACAATGCAAATGCATATACAGTGTAACAGTGGAGACAAGATTTATACGGTTTGATTACTTTTGCCTAAATCTATGCAGAAATACTCAAATATTTTATTGCCAGAATGATAAAATACAAAAAGGAAGAAAATTCCATTTTGAGTTAACTCAAATCAAGCTCTAATGTTCCTTGGACACCATATGATAAAAAATTATGACCACTTAATCTATTAGAAAAATACCTTAAGAGTTTATAGAATGTGTATCTTTAACTTCACATCCATACTAAAATTTTAGGATGCTCAGAGTACTTATAGACCAATCAACCATTGAATTTTAAAGTTTTCTTTTGAAGTCTTTCCAAACTTAAATTCTTTTCCTCCAAGTAACTTATCCTCCAAAAAATATAATTTCGACTAAGGATTAAAAAAATATTGACCAATTATAATAGTAAGTATTTTCCTGTCTTGAGTTCCACTTATCATGAGTAGCTAAAATGATTTTGAAATCTTTGACAAGCTTATTACAATAACTTTTAGCCACAAAACTCTTCCATGACGGATATCACAGAGTTTGAAGCTATGCTACTCCCAGCTCTTCCTGCTCAAGCTATATCAGGTGTTGCTATGAAGAACAATGAAGAGCTCTCTCTACTTAGCTATGCAGTCAATTATCGTTTGATATTTTTGGGAAATAATTTTCAGCATTATGCATTATGCAAAACAATTTGTTAAGTTCTTTATCATTTTGCAGTACTTTCCATTTCTCATCCCAATAAACTGTTGAAAAGTAATTTATAATTGCTACTGGTGTTAGTGGCCTTAATTCTTCTTTTTGACATATTTGACTAGCGACCATGTTTTATACTCATTGTTCCTTGTTTGTTAAGTCAAGTAGTGTCCAATGATCTCACTGTAGTTAAAGTGGTGATACATGTTCTAGTTTATTTTGAAGCACTAATTGTGTAGTGTCTAAAATTAATCTTTCCACTAATGGAGTGGAAACACAATTAGTTGTAAAGCGAGGTAGTTGAGTTGTAAAGCCTATCGATATATACCTTGGGTCATGAATCATGTATTGGGGTTTGACAAACTTAGGTCAATCGATGTAGGTTCTTGAAGAGTTCATCGGTCTTGTTGAGTAATGTAATGGATGTGAAAACACAATTTTCTTTCGAAGAATAGTAGACTCTTGAGATGGTCACTATCTTTGATCAATCAAGATTTGACAATCGAAACCTTAAATGGTGGAATAGTCTCTTTCTTTATCTCAGTATAGAGTAGCTAGGAATGGTGTTTAAGGGTCACTTTCAAGGATTGCTTTTTTGGAGTCCCATGTAGGTTTAGTTGTTGTCATTCGATTATCAATGCTAGTGCTAAGGGCTGTTAGTGAGTGTCGTTAGACACAAGGTGTTGTTAGGGGGAGTTGTCTCCTTGGTGTAATATAAGATGAAAGGTCAAAGGTAATCTTTGTAAATTCAATTCTAATTGTTTTTCAATAGAGGCACTCACTTAAGTCGAATTTGATCATTCAAATCTTCCTTGACAAAAGCACCTGAAATAATATCGCAAGCATATATCTGAGTATAAAGACAAGACCTCCAACCAAGAATGAAATTCTTAGTTGTTCAAAGACATTAATTGTATGAAGCGAATAAGACAAATTCGCATCTGAAAGGTTCTTAGCCTTACATATTTGAGAATCCTCATGGTCCTCTCTTAAACTCCAGAACAAAGCTTAAAAAAAATAGAGAAAGAATCAACCACACTCTATACCCCAAATACCAATGAGAATATGACTATCAAAGTTTTGTCATCTTGGATATGACAACTATTAAATGCAACATCTCATATTAACAAAATATCTAAAAAGAATATTTCGTCATTTAAGCATTTAATCTTCTGTAACCTATTGTGGTTACAAAATAAGTGTAATATGGAGGCTTCTTCAACTATGCTCTATGGACTTTTTCCTTTCAGAATAAATAGGACATTATTGAATACAAACAGGGATAGAGTTTTTCAATAAACCATCTATAGGAGGATCATGAAAGTTAGACCTTAATGACTCAAGAAAGATTTATCTCTTGACCAAGTGATCCAATAGGCTCGGATAGAATTATTTTGCTTCAACTCCCAGATTACACTTTCTGTTGGATTACACCTTGTCTCAGGATAGAGGACTTCATCATTCATAGACATGAATTTTAGGAATAGTCTATTTCTTCTGGCTGTTTGCAGCTTGACATTAGATCTTTTACTGCTTGTTAAATTAGAAAATGATCAGCTCTTGCAATCTTTGTTTGCCTGACAGAAACAAGATGTGCTGATTTATGTTATAAACAGGAGTTCCCATGGTTGTTACTTGGCATCCTGCAAACCCATATGCTTTCAAGATTGAGTTACAACTGGTGATGGATGCAAGAGTCTTCCAAAGATTGAAGTCATAAACATGAAGCTTTGCACTTCCAAATTCTTCACCTTGGACCATCTGCTAATTGACTTTTTGATACTAACTCTTTCTGCTGTTGCTGCAGGTACTGCTGCTACATCTCTCTTAATAAATGCATTAGCTTTTTGGTGTTTGACTCTACAAAAGGTCAAATCAATTTCTTAGTAGAGGCCACCTCTGCCACTTATGTAGACATCCCAACCACTTTTATGGCACAAAACAATCATTCAGCACAAGCGATAGGGAGAGTCTGTTGAGGTCATTAAGTGCGAACCAGTAAGCTGTAAATTAATACTGCATGTTAACAGTGTGCTGATGAATGAGGTAATGTAGGCTAAAGGTAGCATCGGTTACTGTCTTTTTCTCACAACTCATATGAGATTTGACTGGGTTATGCTTGTGTTGGCACATTTGCTCCATATGGCACATAACTTATTCTACTAACTCTGAAGGATTTGCAAGCTGAGGTACTATTTGGGAGACAAGTAACACATAAGCAACTTTAATTGATAGTCGTCCATTATGATCGACCTATTTATCATCATCAGGAAACCAACAAATCAATCTTAGAAACCAAATCTACAAGCAAAGGAATCATTTAATTTACACAAGTGCCATATATGATCACACCAGATCCATTTGGTGATGCTTGTTTCCTGGAGAATTGCATGACAACTTTCTTTTACTGGGTAGTGAAAGGTTAGAGCAGCTCTTGTTGTAGTTGACTTCAGCTCAATTACATCACAGAAGAAGAATTAAGATTGATTCATAAATCTTACACTTGAGGACAAGCAGATACATAGTAATCTGCCGTGTTGACAGAGTCAGCAGCAAAGTGACACCCAACAAGATGAGCACAATTGAAGACAAATGTATCTGACTAAGCTCTATAGAAGAAGAAGTCAAAAGGTTGGAGCTTTAGCTTAGCTTTCATATGATGCAATCAATATCTAAATTTCAACTTTGGAATCACCATTGGAGGATCAAGAAGAAAGAAATGGAGCATGGAAATATCATGTTTCTTCTCTATTTCATGTTCAACACAGTGTGTCCTCTCTTCTCTACTGCTCTCAATCTTGGAAAGACAAAACAAAGAACAAACTCTAACATCCCTTGACATATGGTGGAAGAACGCAAACTTAATTGGCCATTTTAAGTCCACAGTAGGTGAGAGAGAGAGAGAGAGAGAGAGAGAGAGAGAGAGAACAGTCGTTCCCCTGACCCTACACGTTTCAGGTTTCCGGAGCTATGAATGAGCGCATGCTGCTGTTCATGGAGTCCCTTCCCATCGACCGACCGAAGGAGCGCTCCTCAATTGCGTCGAGCTCCGGGCGCCACGTCCGGGCCCGCGACGCCATGGGATTGCCCCGGCCGAGCCCCAGCCACACGGGACCGCTCGGAGGCGGCGGGGGCGCCGCGGGGGGCGCGGCGACGCCGCCCCTCTTGGCGGCTGTGGTGAGCCGGGTCATCAGGGTGGCGAGGTCGACCGGGGACGACTCCGACTGGAAGACAGCGTGGGGTAGGAGGAAGTAGAGGCGGCCTGGCTCGAGGCAGTCGTCGGGCCGGAGCAGGTTGGAGCCGAAGGCGATGAGGTGGGCCGAGGAGAGCAGCACGTGCGTCGGCGGCTTCCCCGTGACCTCCCCCACCGTCACGGGTGCCTCGAAATCCTCCACGTACCCGTTCATGTGGATCACCCGCACGCAGCTGAACGTCCTCGCTCCCCTGCACGACATACAACCCCCCATTTCTCCCCTCTCTAATTCAGTCTCTCTCTCACAGATGAAGAAGAAGAAGAACAAAAGGAGAAGACAGAAGTATATATGCGAAGGGGATAAACAACAGGTTAATATATACACTATGTATATACTGCACTGCAAGAAAGATTGAGAGAGAGAGAGAGAGAGAGAGCGAGAGAGAGATCGATCTAGTAACACAGCGTAAAGTACATAGATTTAGAGAAGAAAGAGAGAGAAGAGCGAGGAGATAAAGAACAACAAAAGGAGAAGACAGAGCAATCTGAAGGGGAGAAAGAACTGGTTAAGATATCCAACATGTATATTCTACACAGCAAGATAGACCGCGTATAGAGAGAGAGAAAGAGAGAGAGAGAGAGTTGACTCGTTCAAAAAGCCAAGGACGGGTCGATAACGTGTGGACGGTGCACTGCATTTAGCTTGCATGCGTTTTCTAATGAAATGACAATGTTAACCTCATATTTTCTACTATAAACAGCTGCACATTTTGAGGGGACGAAGGGTACTTTGGGCACTTCATAGGTGTGTGTGTGCGTGTGTGCGTGTGTTGACCCATTAAAATTTCTTGTCGTGTGGGGTTGGCGTGACAGAGTATGATACAAGCTGAGTGAGATGTGGAAGTAACTTGGAATGGGTGTGATGTGCCAATCTGCTGCCTCTCAACAATGGATTAGATGTCAGCAATAACACACGTTCCACCTACCTGTTTGAAATGGTGTAGGAGTTGGTAGTCAAAGATCACAATGTTAATAATTACTAATGATGCTTTCATGGATATTAATGGATGCAATTAACAAAGGGTTTTTCTGTCTTTGAAAATATCTTTATTTAAAGGGTTAATTATAGATTATCTGTGTAATTAGTTATCATCGCAATCCTAATTCTTATATTTTTAAAAATTATATTAAATTTTTTATATTTATGAAAATGAAACATTTAAATCAATTTCTCCTCACGTAATCAATTTTATTAATAAAAATATCATAAAGTTTATCATTGAGCCTACATTGACTTTATCTTATTTCGTTTATCACAAAGTACGTATAGTATTTTCGTCGACAGAATTGACGACATAAGCGAGAAACAAGATTAAATATTTTACTTTCATAAGTACATGAATCTTAATATGATTTTTGAAAATGTAAAAATTAAAATGCTAAAGATAGTTAATTACAATACGTAATATGTAATTAGCTCATATCTAAATGCTAATTAAAGTCCTAATCATATTAGTAACTTTCCATCAGCTTTATTATGCATGTGGGGGCATATGATTAGGGTTCCTAATCATATGCAAATTGAAGTTAATCCTCACTGTATTCTTGCCTTTTTTTTTTTGTCATTCATTTGACTTTGACTTTGAGAGCAAAGTGAGTTTCACGTTTTCTTTTCTAAAAAGAAAAATAATGTGATACTTCAACAGGATTGAGAAATAGTCCAAATATTTTACATTAGATTAGCACAGTGGGATCAAGTTGGCTGCAATATACAATGGAAAAAGGGTGTGATATACTTTTATGTGGGAAGACAGAGAATCAAGAGAAATAATAGGAAATGAGAAAAACATCCCTGTAGTTTATCACAAACAAATAGTAAGAGGAGGAACAATGATTAATCTTAACCATCTTTTGAAAATAGATGATGAGTGAAAGATAGTTTTATTGTTACAAAGGATAAATGGTGAGGATTGTTATTAATGGTTAAAATTCTTATTAGGTAGGTTAGCTAATATTTATAAAAAAATATATTTGATGATATTTTGAGCCTTTAACTTTAAATATATTTGATAATATTACAAAGGATGTTTTAAGTTTGAATAAACTAGAATTTTCTCAACAAAAAAAAAGAAGCAGAGAAGCCATTAAACATTTTTTTTGATATATTAAGTCCATTTCTACAATTTTACCACTTTCTGGTAAGGATTAACCTTCATGGAAAATCTTGAATTTAGCATTGATTTAGAGTTTGGTTTAATTTCTAATTCAAATTACCTTTAGTATTTGTTCTACATTTTTCTACCTAAAACACATTTTTCCTTCTTATTTCCCATCTCCTCAGGAGACTAACTATGGAATGTTACTCTGTTGAATGAGATAGGATGGAAAAGCAGCAGAAGAGTGAAGACAGTATGATGTGACATTCTGTAGAAAACTGGAGCTCAAACCAAACTGAGTTGAATGACTTGAACTAGATTTCCTGAGTTTTCTTCTGCATGCAGTTGATAGACCTGTCATCTTGGGAGCACCTTAAATCACCTTCTGATGTAGGGGAAATTGTCATTTAGTGTTTGAAACTGAAGGGACCTTTCATTGGCTCTGTCATCTGCCTTGGAAGGATATGAACATTACTTTAGAACTTGCTATGAAAGTCATGGGTGCACACTGTCAAAAACATAAATTGGGTCAGAGATTTATGATCATTTAAGACGATCTGTTCTAATAATCGATTTCTTTGATTTTATAAGCTTAGACAATTAGTCTGAAATATTTAAGCTCAAAATAATACTAATACATCAATTTAACCCATCAAACTAATTCAAATCTTCTCTCATTTTTAAGTGGAACTAAATTAGGGTGTCATAATATCTCATTGTTTGTGGACACAGATAATGATAAGCCACTCCAACATGATCAAAGGAAAAAGCACTGAACAAAATCTTCTTTTCTATGCTGTCAGATGATGGCTGTGTTTATCATAATATAGAAATGCCAAAATGAGACTTAAGAGCAATGTTGAACTTTCTGATGAGTGTTCCATGGCATTCAGAGTCTCATGCTTGCCTACACAGGTTTGACATGTCAGACTATGCCATCCGTTTCATATTCTTCCTCCTCACATATCAGTGGCAGATTCTTCCACCTTCAAACCACACGGATTCAAAGAAAGATAAGCATGACAGGGACTTCTATAAGCATTTAGTGGCTGCACTGAGATCAGCATGAACCAGAGATACTTGTTAATTGGCTGAACTGCTCTTGCTTCTTTGACCTTTGCAGTCAGATACTTCATCCATGAGAAGGTGCAGTTCATCCGCAGTTGATACATCACTGAGTGGCACAAGGAAGATGTGATTTGGTCGAGCTGGTGATTTGAATATTTTATGAACAGAATCCACAGCTTTTGGATTGATTCAGCAGGCAATGTGTGAAGTGCAGATGAGACTGTGTGTGTATGAGGGATGCAATTCTTTTAGGACAGCCAATTTGTCTGTGTCTTGACATTGAAGCAATTGGAAACTGTCCTAAAACCTTTGATTGATGTCTTACACCAATTCCTAAGGATGTTTTCCTTTTACACCTTGGATCTTTGTAAGAAGATGATTAGGACTTACGACTTTTTGTTATTATTATATATTTTTTATAAAGATTAAATGTACAATTAAGTCGTTGACCAATTAGATACAAAAGTTAAAATTGAACAAATTTAATATGCTTTTTGGCATCGTTGACATATGTGTCAAGAGAAACTAATTTTTTTGGACTCATTTAACTAAGTAATATATATATATATATATATATATATATATTTAATTGAATGAGTTTGAAAAGAAGAAAAAAATAAAAGAATAATTGAGAATATTTTTATTATTTTAAAATAATATTAAAAACTAACA